CATCGTTTATTTGCTCTCTGTGAAAGTAAATATGGCCGTCGTTTGTGAAGCGGCCGAACGTCGTTCTTCTCTCAGAAAATAAAAACTAAACAAAGGTGCATAATGGTATACCGAACGACAAAAACCCAATTTGGCGGCAACACAATCTCTGATCGTAGAGATAGGTAATGTAAGTAATTACTTACGGACACTTGTGCTCAGGGGTAGGAGATTAAGTACTTAGATGGGCAGGCCTATACATCTGTATTCGTTGAGATTAGAAATAGCGTATACGCCTACATATATATTCGTCCATACGTAAAAAGGTATCCCGTTAGGGATATGAGCGTATTGGTTTTAAAATTGAAATTATCTTATCTGATTAAATCTTTTTATCATCATTAGGAAACTTAAATTAAAACAGCTCGGTAGTAATTCTTTTTTTTTTTTTTAATTGAAGTGAATTTATTCTATCCCCTTTTTGAAAACATTGAATATTAGATCTTTAATTTTTTTTTTTTTTGGCCCATGCAAGTATTATTATTATTTTTATTCTTGACTCACAGACATAGAGCGTTCGTCTTCCTTGCAAAGTTAATGCTGGCACATGACTATATTAGCACTGCCTCCACTTCCTCCGTCTTGGGATTTAAATTCGGACATACTATATGGCCAAAAAAAAAAAAAATAGTCACTCCTTGCTTAATTTTCGTCTACGAAGCCACATGAAAAAAGTATATTGACGCCCGTCTTATGTCTTATTTGTTTGGCATCTCGTTCCCAACCTTTCACTGTCGAAACTGTCAAATGTAACAGCCTCTTCTACTCCAACAGCTTCTTCTCTTGCACTTCCCAAAAGTGGAACTCCCTTCCTCTTACTTGCTTCCCTGATAGCTATAATCTTCAAATATTCAAATGCAATGTCAATCGACATCTTCTGATGCCTTGATCTTGATCCCCGTCCTTCTCTTTATCCTTTCCTCAAACACCCTTCTTTTATCTTGTTTTCACTCTCTGTAACCCACTAATGGCACTCCCGCCTTGCTTGGGGTGAAATGCTTAAAAAACCTTCTTACTAATGGAAAACAAAAGGAATAGGAATGGTACACTCTTTCACTGGTACCCCATCTGCATTAATTTAAGCGTGGTACTAGGTTGGCATCTCAGTACCATGCTTTCACTGTCGAAACAGTTAAATGTAACCGCCTCTTCTACTCCAACAGCTTCTTCTCTCATACTTCCCAAAAGTGGAACTCCTTTCCTCTGACTTGTTTTCCCTGATAGCTCTAATATTCAAATATTCAAATGTAATGCCAATCGACATCTTCTGATGCTTTGATCCTCATCCCCCCTCCTTCTCTTTATCCTTTTCTCAAACACCTCTCTTTAGCTTTGCTCTCACTCTCTGTAATCTATTGCGTGCGAGTGGCACTCCCGACTTGCTTTGTTAAATAATAACTACGCTAATAAAGCGTAAATGTAAAAGAAAAGAATCTATGATTGCGATGAAGGCAAACATAGTTGTCTCCCCTCTCAAGCTACTCTACTGTAAAAAGTGATTGTCGAACGTCACATATATGGAGTGGCCGAATAAATCTTCATGAAAAGGATGTGAAACATCGCATAGCTAAAGCCTGGGACGCTTTGAATAAAATGCATATAATTTGTAAATTTGATCAACCAGACAACGTCAAACGGAGAATCTTTCGCGTTACTGTTGGTTTTAATGCATAACGCCACTGCTTTGATATTAACTAAAAGCCTAAATTGTAAGCATGAGATAACCTACATCCTTGTGCAAATTAAGTGAAACAACAACTTTAGTTTCCTTTTTTTCATCATACGGTCAGTTTTAGATCCACTGAAGTGACAGGGACGGTGTAATCGATATTTGTTTTTTTCCTCAGATTAGGTCATTTCCAGTGGTGTGCAGTAATATGAATCTATTTTCGAGGTGTATGATAAAATTTGTCTAGCCTTGAAAAATATTACCTCATCCGTGATTGTATCAGATTCTTTTCCCGCCCATACACTATTGTCTTGACTGTCGATTAGTTGTCCTAAGTTGATCATATCTCTTCTACCGATGGCTGCTCGTCTATGAATTATTCAGGTTACTCGTGGCCAGCAACGTCTGTTTTTGGAGGAGGCTAAAACACGTCAGTTCACACGGTGGTCTTCAGGGCCTCCCATCTTTGGCGCCTAAAATCTATTTGGCGCCTAAATTTGGGTCTTACCCATTATTATCAGATAAATAGATTCATCTCCCTATCGGGGTTCTTATCAACCAAAGGGCGATAACCTATATTTTTCATAATACAGGGTGACCCCAAAAAATGGGAATTTATTTTTAAGTGCGTACTGCCAGACATGTGCAAGTGGCAACACTGCGAGACAGTGACCTTGAGCAAGTAAACATTTCGCCATTTAGAATTCAAGATGAAATTCACAGTATCCCAGTTGAGATGTTGCAGCACTCAATGAGGAATCTCAACAGCAGATTTCAAGAATGCATTCGTACAGTAGGACGCCATCTACAGGACGTAATTTAAAAAAAATGAAAATTCCATCATTGTTTCTTAAATGGCATATGTTAAGGTTTTAATTACTATGAATAAAATATTTTTCTTCCATCACTCTTGGTTTTATTGGATTTTTAAAAAGTTCCAGTTTTTTTGGGTCACCCTGTATAAAGTATATTTTAACTTGCTTCGCCGATATTCGTGTAAAAGAGCAGCCTAATCTATGTTGCTAACGCATTAAATGTCTTCATCATCCTTTCTCCTTTTATTCCTTAAAAAAATGATATTTTCAATGGCGTCCTGTGCGTGTGTGATAAATCATTTTTTTTATAATTTTGCCATGATATAGCGCAAATAATTTCTACTTCTGTTTCACACGGCTACAAAGAGCCACTATCCACAGGAAGGGGTGTTTATAATTTTGTTTCTCTTCGTATGAGATTATTTTCATTCTATTTTGTCGAAACAAGACCGTCCTTTAGCTGTAAATATTGTGTAAATTTTGTTTTTCAAAATATATTGTAAGCTGTGTAATGACAAACGTACTCAGGTGTAGGCTTTAAGAAAGCTTTATCCAACTGAGAATACAAGGTTTGCTTATAGTGTCCTTTTATAGTCCCAGTAAACAGAAGCAGCTCTTTCAAAGAGGGAAGCAACGAAACAAGGGGAGACGACTCTTGGTTATTCATAAGAAGCTGTATAAATTCATATTTTAGTCGATACGGATCGGATGAAAATTTGAACAATTTTTAAACATCAGTGCGTAGAATACGTGAGAGATTTAGTTTTGTATTGTCATAGGCCAAATTTAGGGATGCGTATTATACACGAATGCATATTTTATCTGAATCACTATGGTAAGGGATACGAGTTAACTCTTTTAGCAAGGACAATGGAATGACAAACTGCGCCACTGGGTTGAGTTCTTTAGCTCCATAGGATCTAGAATCGAAAGAATCACAAGAGTGCCATTGTTAACACCAAAACGTTCAGACACAGCGCCTCAACTGTGTCTGTGACATCGTTAAATGGACGCTGAACAACTACGAACGTATGACGAGCCACGATTCCATTTTTTTAGGATAATGGTAGCGTTCGACTTTGGTAGTGTATGGACCTCATTTGTCAATAAGACACTGTTCAGACCTTACAATAATGAGGCGTTCACATGTTAAGGAGAATCCATAACATGTGAATGGATAATTATTGTCTGCTGGTGAAAAAACGCCATTAAATGGTGACCGCTTCGTTGCACTGCCTCTTGGTTATTTGCATCCATTAATGAACTCCATGTACCCCGACAGCGATGCTTGAAGGAAAACTCAACACCACCGACTCAACACCACCGACTCAACAACGGGACAACTCAGGACCGAGACAACTCAGCACCAGAAAAGCATAACTTTTTTTTTTTTATAACCGATGTCAATGTTCTCTCTTCGCATTAAATGTGCTATCCATTTTAATTATTACCGCTACTGGAAGTCTTCAAGCGATGTGGTTTCTGTTGTTTGGTACAGTTCTTTGTCTGTGATTCTGTAGCGCCAGTCTACGAGTTTCAAAAAAAATTCTGAAGGAAAATGAAATGAACGGATAATCTCGCAACTGATATGGTAATAGTAATGTTAAAAATAACCGTTTCCCTATAAGGAAACACTTCCCATTCATTGATCAAACGGACAGTACTGTTTTCGGTTGAAATTTATAAAATCTTTCTCTTAAAACACCTTTTGTTTTAGGAAAACAGGTTTCTGAAATGCATTAGCTATTATCGATCTTTACGGTATTGATTGGTGGGGGGTCCTTCGGAACCTTCTAGTTGATTTGATGTAGAATGTTAACATCTTAATTATGTCATTAGTTTCTCCTCTATTTATATGCGTTATCCATTATAGCTGGTGCTATTAATAGTCCTCAAGGAATGTGGTTTCTGTTATTTGGTACAGTTCTTTGTGATTCTGAAGAAAGCCGGAGAGTACGATGGCCGAAACGTCGTGAATATCACAACAAAGATGAGGACAAACGTCCGAACAATGGAAATGGTGTAAATTGTTACAATACCTCATCTCAGAATTATACACAGATATGAAAGGACAGGAAGTCGTGGAGAGCCGTAATCGCCCACATCCTGAAGGGACACGGCACATAAAAAGAAGAAGTGGAAGATTTTATATCCACGGAGGTTTTACGTATGCCATCACATACGGTAATTTGTTTTCATTTTTGCCCGGAAAGTCTTGACTAAAATCTTTGATTCTTATCTTTCATTCCAACCTTGAATGAACGCGTGCGCCCAATTGAGAACGCAATTTTGAATGGGGGGGGGCGTATATTCGGTTCTACGTAATTCATTCTCGTCCACCAACCGACCACACCTGGCCAGGTGTAATGTCTAATGATACCTGATACGGGCGGTAGCCATCCAGCAGTGTACTCCATTTCGCAGCCACTATTCGATATTTGCCCCGGTAAGATGATATTTGATGTCTATTTTTCTACTTAGAAATGTTGATTCACCTGTTGACAGGTGAGCAAAGGGGGATAATGTGTGATAGGTATAGAGATAGATAGAAAGAGAGAGAGAGAGAGCGAGAGCGGTACGAATAAACATAGATAGATAGATAGATAGATAGATAGATAGATAGATAGATAGAAAAAGGAAAAGTGAAAGAAAGAAAGAAAGAAAGAAAGGAAAAAGACAGAAAGAAAAAACAAAGAAAGGAAGAAAGAAACAAACAAAAAGACAGTCATAGATAGATAGATAGATAGAAAAAGATAGATAAAAAGAAAGAAAGAAAAAGACTGATAGATAGATAGATAGATAGATAGATAGATAGATAGATAGATAGATAGATAGATAGATAGATAGATAGAAATTGTCAGAAACATAGAAAAAGGAAAGTTAGATAGAAAAAGGAAAAGTGAAAGAAAGAAAGAAAAACATACAAAGAAAGAAAGAAAGAAAGAAAGAAAGAAAGAAAGAAAGAAAAAGACGGTCATAGATAGATAACAGTGTAGATAGATAGATAGATAGATAGATAGATAGAAAAAGACAAAGATAGATTGATAGATAGAAAAGGACAAAGATAGATAAAAAGAAAGACGATAGAAAGAAAGAATGAAAAGACATAGATAGATAGATAGATAGATAGATAGATAGATAGATAGATAGATAGAAACAGCCAAGTTCTCAGTTTCACGCCAAATCCCATATGAACTAATCCCTCCTTCTATACTTTATCTTTACAAGAGATCAGACCAAAAAATGGAGTAATGCTGCCATATCTGGGCTGGAGCTACTCGGTCCTCTCTTGCTAACTTTGATAGACTACAAAATGGCGTCTTTTGAGAGAAAACCTATTCTCCGGTTTCCAGCCACTTTCACCACAGACGCAACCTCGCCAGTCTCTAGCTATTCTATCGCTATTTCCTTCAGATGAACTCTATTCTTTAGTTCCACCAGTTCAGACCCTTACTGCTAGGGCACGCCTTGCTACTTCCACGGAATCGAATCACCCTCATTTCCTCAATGTTCAAAACGTGATGAGAAAATAGAGATCTGCTTCCAAAGAACTACTTTCTTGGCCCGTGGATGCTTTTTTATAACATCCAAATCTTAGCCTTAGATTATATTAAAATAATTGCTAGGTTTCCTGCTCGGCAGCTTGGTTCACTGTGTCGTGAAGACAATTTTCTCGTCTGAATTTATCTTACATATTTATAACTCTACCATTCCTTCAAGTATTGAATATTGCTTCCATATATGGTCTGGTTTTTGTTACAATTTTTGGATACTTTAGACTACTAGTGAGCCAATCCAAGTGACTTAACTCACTTTATAGTTCACCAATAGAAGGTTAACCAATCAGAAGATGTAAAGTATTCAATCCGTCGTGTATAAAGGCGGCCATTTTTTTTACTCTATCCGAATGTCCAGTGCCAGCTTGTCAGGCGAAGAGGAACAGAAGGAAGAACTACGCTCTGCTACTTTTACCAAAATATCCACTGCTAACCTGAACTCCGCTTCCCTACTGTCTTCGAAATATTCACTGCTAACCTCTGGATTCTATACTCAAAGACGACAGTCATCATGAACAACAGTTTTTCTGTTATATATCAATATCTTGATAAAATACAAAGAATGCCATTGGTATCTACGCTTCAGTCAAATTCCTACCACTGTAATCTTTTCTATAAATAACTAGGTTTGCATATCGCTGTCACCCTTTCACTGTTGAAACTGTTAAATGCAGCCATCTCTTCTACTCCAATAGCTTCATGTCTCGCACCTCTTGCCTGTGGAACTCCCTCCACTTTTCTTATTTCCCTGATAGCTATAATCTCCAACTATTCAAATATAATGTCAATCAACGTCTCCAGATGCCCTGATCTATCCCCTATCCTTCTCTTCATCCTTTCCTCTATCACTTCTATTTGCTCACGCTCCAACTCTCTGTTACCCCTTGCGTAATACTGGCTTCCTGCTTTGCTTGGGGTGAAACGCTTAAAAAATACTTTCTTTTATGGTACCTAGACTTTAAGAATTTAAGCCCTGTACCATTTTGGGGGTATGTTCTCATGAAGTGGCAGCTGTAACCCTAAGTTCTGTGCTAACTGTTCTTTTCTCGCACTTGTAGAACACTCTTCCACCACATACTTCCAAGTATTTTGCTTATTGGAAATATTAAATTTAGTCTATTAGCCTGAAATTAAAACTAAAATAAAAGCTTCAAGAAAGATTTTTCTTTTTTAAAAATTCATTTTAAAATTTAGGTTATTATTTTATTAAATATTTTAATCCTTTCAAGCAATGTCAAAATTTGGGTCAAAAATTAGTATAGGAATTTTTAGCATTTTTTTTTTTTTTTTTTTTTTTTTGGCATTAAACCAAGATTGTTTTGGAAATTATTGCAAAAATTAAATAATCGTCAGAAATTAAATTTTCAGGAGTTATTCAAAAATGAATTAAATTATTTTTGAAATTTTTTCTTTTCTTTTCTTGGTAAATATATATATATATATTTTTTTTTTATATTTGTTACCCCCACTTACCAAATTTTTATGAAATTTCAAGAAATTAAAATTTCAGTTTCTTCATATTTATATTAGTTAAAAGCCGAACTTGTTCCAGTCAATTAGGTTTTATTTTGATTATTGGAAATATAAAATTTAGTTTATCAGCTTGAAATTAAAACTAAAATAAAAGCTTCAAGAAAGATTTTCATTTTTAAAAATTCATTTGAAAATTTAGGTATCATATATTTTGTGGAGGTCCCTATATAGAAGCATTTTCTTGGTTTAAAAAATAACTTTCTCCAAGCAAAAATATGCAAACAATATACAAAATGAAATTCTTTATTTATATTCAGACTATTGTTATTATGTTTTGGACATTTATTGAATTTATGGGGTAGATTGTCCTCATTTTGCTCTGTCTAGGGACATCTAGACCCATAAATGCCTGAAGAAGGCAGGAGGGCACAATAGTTGAAACGCTACGATAATGGCAACAAAGATAAAACAACAGTTTGAATGTAAATAATGGCAAGTCCTCACCACAGAAATTCAGACAGAAATAATTCTCTGAAACAAATTTCCAATCATTCTGTGAATATTAACTCGGTAGGTAGTATAGTGATTTCCTAAGTATAGCTTAGATGTGGCACAAGGACGAAAGTAAGGGTCACCCAGCGAGAATCGAACACGCTACTCAGTCGTAATTGTTCTAGCGATACAAGCTTGTTAACCATTACACCGCCTCGAGATGCCCAATATTGAGATTTTCCAAGCTTAGTTTAGATATGACACAGGGCCGAAGTTATGGGACACCTAGTGAGGATCAAACTCACTACTCAGTCGCAATTGTTCTAGTGAGACAGGCTTGCTAACCATTACACTGTCTCGAGGGGCCCAAACTCCGTAGATAGCATATGTCAGTTTCCCTGAGCCCCTCCTGTCAATTGAATCAGTCTTTGAAATCAACATTACTTTGTTTTCTTCATTCTATCTACAAAATATTTAAATCGTAATCCTCAATGGGAAGGAAGAAAATAAGATTGAAAATCAAATTCAATGTCCTTCGAGTGTTGGTCTCTTTTCAGCTTGTGAATATTAATTCTGTAGATAGCATATGTCAGTTTGCCTGTGCCCCTCATGTCAATAGAATCAAAGTCCGCATTCAAAGATTTCAGAGAATCCATTCTCAAAGCTAATCTTCACCTTCTCCCAAATGAGTTGCCTTCTTAGCGGTAATTTTATTAACATTTCCTATTTCTGGATATTTTTCTCTTTCTGTCACTGTTATCGTTTCATTATCTGCAAATTTAAATTTGGCTTAAAATACAGTAAAGTATTTTGCTTATTAGAAATATTAAATTTAGTTTACTAGCTTGAAATTAAAACTAAAGTAAAAGATTTCTGTGGCGGTACCTACATATAAGTTTACCATTTATCTACGCTTTGAATTCTTTTTGATGAACAATGGCACGTAGACTTTATAAACTTAAGCACAGTACTAGATCGGCAGCAAGATCTCATTATTATTTTACAAACTGAATTGGCTTCATTTAACCGCAAGTTCTATGCTAACAGTTCCTTCTGTCACATTTTTCGCTTGTGGTACACTCTTCCGCTTCCTTGCTTTCCAACTAACTTCAAAAATTAAAATCCAGTTCCAGTCGTTATCTTCTGTCTTCTTAATTCTTGTTGTTTTATTGTTTTCTTTTACTTATATTCTTTCAGAATGAGTGAAATTGGGTTTGAAATTACTGTGGAACTCTCTTCTGGCTTCTTGCTTTACAGTCAAGCTTGGTCTTCAAAAGTTTAAATCAATTATTATCTTCTGTCTTCCCGCTTCTTTGTTGTTCTTGCTCCTTAATAATGTTTGCCGCATATTCTTTCACACTCATATGTAATAATACGTAATAATTATTAGTAACTTTTATTTTAATATATATATATATATATATATATATATATATATATATATATATATATATATATATAAATCCTGGGTATGACGATAAACTACATCCGCGTTCTGGGTAACACGATAAAGCACATCCAACAGCAAGGCCTCTGATCATATTGTTTTGAAGAGCATGGAAACACCTCTTAATTGCTGGTGTTCCCAAGTCCACACTGACCCGGGGTGGTAGCACCTGTTAGGGTCCCAGCTATGGGCAAATAGTCTGAGCCTTCATGGATTTATTGCCTTGTTTGGGATAAAACGATTAATATATATATATATATATATATATATATATGTGTGTGTGTGTGTGTGTGTGTGTGTGTGTGTGTGTGTGTGTGTGTGTGTGTGTGTGTGTGTGTTTTGTTTTGTTTTACGGCATATCAACCTCAATGGATTATTTAATGCCGACACAATTTTATTGCTGGTAATATGTTTTTTCTTCGAAAATCTATTTTTGGGAATATTTTTCCTTGAAGAAATCTATAGCTGGTCATATTTTTTCCAAAGAATATATAACTGTTTGTATTGCTGGTATTTTTTTTTTTTATGTATTGCTGATAATCATTTTTCCTTCAAAAATTATTGCTGGTAATAATTTTTTTTTATTACAAAGTATTTCTGGTATTAAAACCTATTTTTACACAAGTTTGGGTGTCAACTATTTGCCCATAGCTGGGACCCTAACAGGTGTTACCACCCCGGGTCAGGGTGAATGTGGGAACGCCAGCAATTAAGAGGTGGTTCCAAGCTCCTCAAAACCTCCAGAGCAGAGGCCTTGCTGTTGGACGTAGTTTATCGTCTTACCCAGGATGTGGATGTAATTTATCGTCATACCCAGGACATACACACACACACACACACACACACACATATATATATATATATATATATATATTATTAAAATTAGTTACTAATAATTATTTATCAGTCATCAACCGGTTTTCCTTGAATTTATTTGACCTTGGGCCAACATTCCGGAAGTTTTCGAATTCCATCTTGATAAAAAGACTTTCGCTTGGACGCGATGAATTTATCAGTGAAATTTTTGAGTAGATGAACCAAATGATAATCCGATGGCGCCAGGTCTAGTGAATAGGATTCTAACGTTATCGTTGTTGCACATTAGAATTCTTTTCCGTTTTCTCCGTCATGTATATAATAACATTAAACTATTACAATTGATCACGTTAATGTTCTTCAGTGGCAGTTTCATCAGGCTCCAGCAATTTTTTAATAAACTACGCTTTACATGCCACAATAATTGATAGTGTTCAAAAGCGTTGACGCAGCCTTGTAGGCCATGAAATGTTCTCATCTTACAAGCCCGCTTCCACGGACGAAATGTCGCAAGCCTCTCGCCACTCTATTGCTATTTCCATGGCAAATGTTCAGACGAGCTACATTTTCGACTCCCACCAGTTCAGATATTTACTGCTAAGGCCTTCCTTAGGGGTGAACCATTTTCCTTCCCATCGTATTCCATTGGTAAGTAGGAAGTTATATTCGGTCAGATATTTCCCAAGAACTGCTGCTTTATGGAATATACTCCTAAGAGGATGCTTCGACGAAAACTACGGTCTATGGCCATATCAGCTTGAAACACGAGTTCTCGTCCAGTCAACGTCGATGGGTGAACGCTTGGGAGTATCCGATGATGTAAACTTAGACGTGCGAGTGGTGTAATTGATTATGGCTCGGAATCTAAAATCTAAAAATGTAAGGTTCGATGTGCGAGGGGTATGACTTAAGGCTATATCACTTTGAAAAATCCAATCCTCAAAGTTAAGCAATATCATGCCAGGTAGTATCTATATGGGTGACAGCTTGGGACATATCACGTTGAAACAGCGGTTCTCTTCCAATCATTAAAGTTAAGCAATGTCGAGCTTAGTCAGTACGTAGATGGGTGACCACTAGGGAATACCAGGTGTTGTAAGCTTAGACGTGCGAGTGGTGTAATTGATTATAGCTCGGAATTATTCAATCTAAAAAATGTAAGGTTCGATATACGAGAGGTATGACTTAAGGATATATCACTTTGAAAAATCCAATCCTCAAAGTTAAGCAATATCATGCCAGGTAGTATCTATATGGGTGACAGCTTGGGAATAGCAGGTACTGTGAGCTTGGATGTGCGAGGGGTATGACTTAAGGACATATCACGTTGAAACAGCGGTTCTCGTTCAATCATTAAAGTTAAGTAATGTCGAGCCTAGTCAGTACTTAGATGGGTGACCACTAGGGAATAACAGGTGTTGTAAGCTTAGACGTGCGAGGGGTGTAATTGATTATGGCTCGGAATTATTCAATCCAAAAATCTAAGGTTCGATGTGCGAGAGGAATGACTTAAGGCTATATCCGGTTGAAACACCGGTTCACATCCAAACATCAAAGTTAAGCAATATCGAATCTGGTTAGTACCTAGATGGGTGACCGCTTGGGAATACCAGGCGCTGTAAGCTTGGTTGTTCACGAGCTATGACTTAAGGCCATATCTCGTTGAAACACTTATTCTCGTCCAATCATCAAAGTTAAGCAATGTTGAGCCTAGTCAGTACCTAGATGGGTGACCGCTTGGGAATACCAGGCGCTGTAAGCTTGGTTGTGCACGAGTTATGACTTAAGGTCTTATCTCGTTGAAACACTTATTCTCGTCCAATCATCAAAGTTAAGCAATGTTGAGCCTAGTCAGTACCTTGATGGGTGACCGCTTGGGAATACCAGGTGCTCTAACACTGAAGAGTCAGACGTCTGAAAGAAACTGCACAAATGCTAGTCTATACGGACCTCCTTAGTAGGCCTAGCGTAGAAATAAAGACAATATGGGAGTCGCTAATCATGGCTTGGCTTCGCAAAATGAAGATGAAGGAGTATATACACGTCGCTTGCAGGCACTTTTGCGGCTGATAAGTTCAATGCGGAACAGGCATAGACAGTTGCAGAAGTTGTAGCTGAAAGACCGGCCAAAGCTCGATGGAATGGCGTTGCAGTACTTCCTCCTCTGCTTCTTGTCCTTGAGAGCGACCATGCAGGTATTTTCAAAGAAGAAGACAGTATGGTTTGTGGTCAGACGTCAAGTGTCACGGTTCTCAACTAGGACCCCGTCTGTCCTTATATTGAGTGAAGAAGAAAGGTATTCATAGCTTTCCAAAAGTTATTTACATGTACGTGAATTTAATAAACTCTATTGGAATTCGAACTCTGCACTCCGATTCCTACATACATCTTCATCATCGTCATCATGGCTTGGTTTCGCAAAACCAACAAGAAGAGGGAGTCCGTACACGTCGCTTGCAGGCACTATTTTCGCTGATAAGTCCAATGAGAGACAGGCATAGACGGTCGCAGAAGTTGCAGCTGAAAGGTCGGCCTAGGCTCGATGACATCGCGTTGCAATACTTCCTCCACTGCCTCTTGTCCCTGAGAGCGTACCCCTAGGTATTTTCAAATGAGTCAGTACGGTTAGTGGTGAGACGCCAGGCGTCACGGTTATCAGCTAGGGCCCCGTCTGTCCTGATGGAGAAGTAAACAGCACGGCTGGTGGTGATCTGTAACAAAAAAAAGAAAGGCTACAGTGAGTGCAGTTTAGTATGACAAACAAGATTTGAAGGCATGAAACTGAGAGACCCCTTTCTGCCATCCATTAGCCTGACTGATGCTAACCTGCAATAGAGTGACTCATTTCACCTTCTCAGGTTAACGCTCTCGACTGACATGATGTCGAAAATTCAAAAGTTTATATTGAATCAATTGCTAAGTCTGCTGCCTGGTAAGTTCACTGTGTCGTGATAGACACATTTTCTCGGCAGAATCTATCTGAAATATTTATAAGTGTGCTATTCGACCATGATTCGAATATTGCTGCCACGTATGGTCCACTGCTCCTGATATATATCTAGAGCTCCTTAATAAAATCCAAAGAAGAAACAACAATGTTACTGGGCCTGTACTGCTATCTCGGCTTCAGTCACTTTCCCACCGCCATAACGTCGCTTCCCTGAGTCTTTTCTAAATATTTTCAAGGTAACTATTCAACTTAAAGGCACTTTTCAACTTTGCTTGACCATCGACGCAATCTGTAGCCATGAGTTCTAAACCACATCAGATCTAAAAACGGTTTTCCTTTGGAGAACGATGGCTCGAATCGTACCGAAGAGCGTATATTTTTCACTAAGATTTCTCGAATATTCAGATCGGTAGACGAAAATAAATATGTATACTGTTTAACAGACAAACGGATCGTCGACTCAAATACAAATATCAACTAAAAATAACGTTTAAGGAATATATATATATATGTGTGTGTGTGTGTGTGTGAAAAGTGTATATAAATATAAATAAATATATATATGTATAATTATTTATATATTATATGCGCGGTACTTATTAGAAAGCGCTCAATATCAGAGATAGAGCTAACATATTTGGTATGACATCAAACAAACTCACATCTATCCAACCAAATATATATATATATATTAAGGCATAAAAAGCAAGAAATTTTATATTGTAGGCCATGATAGATTTAAGACAAAACACACGCCAGTCAACTGGTTTCGTCCCCTCTCATCAGAACTGTTAACGGGGAACTAAAATTATGAAGAAAAGGGAAAAAAACACTAAATTCAGTTTCTTTTTCACAGATTTTCAGCCATTTAGCCATCTTGACACCATTGTTTGTCATAAGAATCAGTGAAAAACCCTTTGAGTTATTCAGCTAGAAAGAGAACAGGTTAAAATCGTTTTGTGTCAACCCCTCTATGTCGTCGCAAGTGAGCAATGGCGGGAGCAAAAGGATCATTCAAGCCTTCAATGATGGTACCAACTGGTTGTAATTTTCAAAGACCATTCAAGAACAATCAAAGGAACGGTGAGTAAGTTTTAAAAAGAGGGAACAGTAGGGAGGAAAACTGGATCAGGTCGCAACAGCAAGAGGGATCATCGTTTCAACTTAGAGCTAAATACATTTAAATTGTTCAAAGTAGAGTCCAATAGTGTTACAAAAAATTTTGAGAATTCGAGTAAGATATCATTTCTTATATACAACGGTTCAAAAGTTAATGTCAAAAACTGGACAATTTTGCTGTTACACGTTGTGGACAATTTTGCTGTTACGCGTTGTGCACAATTTTGCTGTTACACGTTGTGGACAATTTTGCTGTTACGCGATGTGGACAATTTTGCTGTTAGACGTTGTGGACAATTTTGCTGTTACGCGATGTGGACAATTTTGCTGTTAGACGTTGTGGACAATTTTGCTGTTACGAGATGTGGACAATTTTGCTGTTACACCTAATATGTGAAGACACTGAGATTAGATAGATGCTTATGTGTCTGAATGTGTACATAAGTGTGTAACAAAAGCGTGATCTCTGTGTGTGTGTGTGTCTGTGTCTGTGTGTGCGCGCACGCGCACGCGGGCTTATGTGCGTGAACAATCTCGAGAATGCAAACTTTTGCGCTATGTATCCTTGTATACCTATGTATACATGCACGTATATTTGTCACTGATGCAAGACAATCATTTGAAATGTAGAAGGTTATCTCTCCTTCTCAGGAGAATTCGGCCCGCCCCACAAGGCCCGCTGACAGTCCAATAGACAGAATACACAAAAGTGGTTTATATATATATATATATATATATATATATATATATATATATATATATATATATATGTATGTATGTATGTATATATATATATATATATATATATATATATATATTTATATATATATATATTAAATCCAATCCTTCAGATTTAACCAAAAATGGCATACCCGCCCCTCAAACAAAATGCTACTCGCGTAAAGTTTCGCAATTTTTTTCAACGATGGGCGTCTTTTGTGATATCTGATTTCTATAGAAGAGAATTCGAGAAATAAAAAATAAGAAAGATTTGTAAGAAGAGGTAATTTTTTTTTATATATTAAAAGTTGAAGTCATTTTTCTTTCTAAATTAAAAGTGATGTGTTTAAGATATTTTTATAAAAAAAAACAAATTTCTAGAGGCACAATATGATTGATTCGCCAGTATACAATGGTTTTTACTACTATACAATCTCTATCATATACAAAATGATATCGAATGATCTCGGTATATACCTCCTACCATTGTACCATTCAGCGGAAATGCTCGGTCAGTTTGCGCTCCTTTCTACCCAGCCTACTTGTTCAGCCTGCTAATCTACTTGTACGGAATCTTTAAAAGAGGTTTTGTAACGGCTGTTTTGCAACGGTTCTGCAATCTTTACAATAGAGGGTAAATTCCAGCAAAATGTTCGCATCAGATTTTTCCATTCATTCTTCAGGGTGAGCTCGGGTTATATATATATATATATATATATATATATATATATTATTAATAATAATAATTTGGAAGTAAAAATATGAGTATTAAACGTCTTACTTCCAATTTAATATCATATATATATTTTAAGACGTTTTTATACATACAAATATTTAAGTAAATGCTCTGTTTTATAATAAACAGTATTAATAACATTTACTGGTCTGAATGTCCGGGAAATTTTCCTAGAAAATATTCGTCCTCCGACAAGATTCGAACCTGTATCCTATAGGCGCGTTCGGTTAGCAAGGTCGAATTTACTGTATTTGAACTTCAATCTTCCATGAATCTCTCACGTACATTCATATCTGCGCAT